TTAATATGCCCTTTTCTCCTAAAAAGCAGACTAAACGGATAAATGTTCCCAATCCACTTCTCACAAAATGTTAAATTTCAGGCAATGTTAATTCTATGCAATGTGATAGACAAAGCAAAATAAACAGACAAGGGGGGCAGTAATGGAAAGTGCAGAAGTGGGGGAGGGAAAGATGGCCAAATAAAACTGAAAATACTAGGTAAAAAGTTTTAAAAGGCTTCAGCAAAACTTGACATCTTTAGAAAATACTGCACCCTGTGAATCTCAGGGCAGGTACCCCAGGGGCAAAGGGGTATAGTTCATTCTTCCAAAATGACAGTCTCCTTAACATCTCTCCAAGTAATCCCCATATACTTAGAAATACTACTCTAGCTGAAGTTTTTGAATAAATTCATACTTAAATAAGTTGCCATGTAAAGATAATGAAACTAAAACCTATCAAAATCTCACTGTATTCACAGGCCAAAAGTTATATCAACACGTTAGGTATGGGTCAATCTATTTTTTAAAATGTACTCACCTGGGTAATATAAATGCATAAAGAAAGTTACCCAGATTCAACAATCTGTAAGTAGACAACCTAAAAAAAAAATCTTTTTGTCACTGGCTAATGTCCAATTACACGGGAAGGACTTTGTGAACACCCAAAAATGACGATAACTTAAAAGCAACAACAAATCAACTTATAACATTAGTCATAGTCAGATCAATTTAAGATAACAATATACTGGATTTTTCTGGAAGGCCTATATTTCAAATCATTTCTCCCTAGGGTATGGAAAAATATGTGGTGGCAAAACTTAAAGAGATGATCAGCAATGAAGTCATACAGACAGAAATACACTTGCCTGTAATTTAAAGTAAATGGAAGTAACTTCTTTAATTTTATTCACCAAACAAATATTACTTATGTATTTCATCTTATTTCTCTGCCATTTTTGTCAAATGAAAAATCAATTGTAAAGGCAGACTCTAAAAATAAGTGGTAGCAATGTAAAGTCATAAGTAACTACTGAAAGCAGTTACATGTAACTGACTAATCTCCTGGCTTACACTGTAGGAAAGAGTATCTGTGTTTGTTTCATTCATTCAACAAGTAATTTACTGAGCACCCATGATGTGCCAAGAACTGTGCTCAGCACTATAGACTTCTTAAAAGTTCAGATCACAGCCTCTGCCCTCTAAGAGCTTACAATCTATTACTCATTGAAAAGACAAAGCAAGTAAAACCATAATAAAACAAGGCTAGAATAAGTGAAACAGTAAGAGTTATGGGCAGATTACATAGGATTTTATTTTGATAATCTGAAAGGGAGATGTATGCTGGGCAAATTTATTGCTGAGGACCTCTTGGAGAAGACAGGACTTGAAATGGCAGAATTTATTTAGGTAAATAAAGTAAAGTTCACAGTGGTAATGAGCTGGTTGGGGCAGGAGAGCAAGAAAAACACAAGCTTGGTCGTGAAATAATATAATCACTCAAAATACCATGAGAAGACCAGTCCGAATTCATATTAGGGAATGCAAAAGCATGCAGCTAAGAATCATGCTTTGAATTATACACCAAGAGATCACTGCAAGTTAAGTTGTAGAAAGTAGATGTTAAGCTATAGGCACAGGAAAACACTGGAAGTTCTAGGGCAAGAAAATAACTCACTGAAATCTAAAAAGTTTTTGAGGGGACAAGTTTGAAGCAAGAAAACTAGCTAAAAAGTTATAACGATATCCAAGGCATGATGCAGCTCAGACAGCAACAGGAATAGAAATAAGGTCTATAAAAACCTGCCTTATTCAAAATGAGAATAAGAAAATCCAACTTAAAGAGGAATTACTCATTTATCAATTTAACTAACAAAAGCAGAAAGAAAAAATACTGAATAACTAGAATTAGGGAGGCATTACTAAAAGAATTTCTTATTTTCTTATATATCAACCCATAAAATCTTATATATATCATCTATCCTTATCAAATGATCTAAATTGAATCATAGGCTGTTAGAGCTGAAAGGGACCTTAATTCTTTTATTCTACTCTTCTCATTAAAAGAAGAGAAAAATTAAGAATTAAAGAAAGGGGAAAAAAGATGGGGAGGAAGACTCTCTTGGGCTTAACTGAAGAAAAAAAATCACCTGTATAAGGACAGTTTATGTTGTAGAAAAGACAACAGAAGAGTAAGATGTGAAAATATTTTAAAGCAAAACATTATTTACAATACACATGGAGAAAGAAGACAGCTTCATACATATCTTAATACAATCTCTTACTGGAAATAACATTTATACAACTTGTAAGGTCCCTTCCAACTGTAAGATCCTATAATTCTATAAAAGTAGAAGCAAAACTTTCCCATCGGAAGCTACTGTACAATAAGAAAGGTAAATTTAACTTACAGGATAAACTTCAAAGAGTATTATTAAGCCCTATTTGATAATTTCCAAATGCTTATTACTACTAACAGATTGAGTCTGAATTCTACAAAGGGCATTATAGGTTATCTTCTGAATTAAAACAAATGAAAACATACTAGTCCTTTAATCATTTGCTCTAATTTCAAAAAATACAAACTCTGGCTAACATAGACTGTTATGTTCAGTCTGCATATTATTTTACAAATTTTAAAATTTCATGTCACGTTCAATAGCATTCCAAATACCACAATCATTTAGCAAGTAAGACTGCCACCAATTATAGTCCTCAGCTGGCCCCAGAATGAGATCTTAATGTGAACTAGACAATATACATGAAGGTTCCATAACCTTCAGTTGCAACGTCTGAAGAATCTGTGAATTAACTTTTTAAAATTGGATGGCAGAACCCTACCAACTTTGTGTCACTGCAGCCAACTATATAGGCACCCTGCTTCTTATTATCTTCTGACCACTTACTGCTCACTAACACTTCTGAGGTTGGGTAGAAAGAAGACATGATGCAGAAAGAAAGATCAAGTTTGAGAATTACCAACTTATTTTAAGGTAGTTTTTTATAGGGCTTTAAATTAGATTCCTGGATACATGATTATATTATTCATGCCCTCTCAGTCTGCTATAACAGCTAAAAAAAGCATTTATTTTACCATGATCTGGGCTCCATATTTGTTAGATACCAAAAGGGAAAAAAGGGAATAACCTAATTTAAGGGGGAAAAAAAAAGGGATTCTCTTAATTTCCTCAAAGCTGGACTCTTAAGTCATTCAATCATTATCCTAAGAGGAGCCAAAGAGACAGACAGACTTTTTACACATCTAAATAGTCAGGGTAAGCATAAAGGCGCAAAAGCTTAAAGGGCATTCCTGGTCTAGGAAAAATGTAGAAGAAAACCACAAGGTAAAAGTATCTGAATGAATGTGCACCAAGTAGCAAATAACCTTACTAGGAAGATGGTCACTATAAAGTAAGGAGAAAGGGCCATAAAGCAAACTGTGACCAGCTTATGTCAATGAGATACATGAATACTTAAAAAATAAAATAATAAATTTGCATGTTACTCGAAATGACTAGCTGGTATCTTGGTTTTGGTAGTGCAATAGCACCAATACAGCAAGGGTAAGCAGGTCAATCCCTTGCAAAACTTACCTTGATTGGCCCAATGGAAACAGAAGGCCCCAGAAAAGAGAGAAGCATCTGGCAGTAGCAAATTGTTTTATTTTATCTTTCTGTGGAAAGAAACTAATTTTAAATAAGAACCAGAGCATTTAAAGAATAAATATTTTTTTAAAGCTCATTATCTAGTTAGAGCAGCTCTACTAAGAAAACAAGAAGAGCTCCTTGCTGTTTAGAGATGGAATGAAACAGAAGAGGAATCAGAGTTGTTTCTCCATCACCTAGGGGGTTTTAAAACTTGTGTTATCCTAAAGTAACATAAATAGTTCTTTTATTTAAAGAACTCCTACAAGTAGAATCTTTTGGGCCTGGTGCCTTCGAATAAAGACTTTTATACAAAATTAAGGGCTATATTTCAAATAAAAAAGAGGATAAACCACTTGACATTAAGCCCTTCCACTCTTGAGTTTAAAAAAAAAAAAAGAGTGAGCTCCTTTCTCCACTGCAATTTCACCAATAACTCAAACCATCAAGGTTTAAATGATTATCAAAGCAAATGATGCCCCCAACTGGTAGAAAGCTCATACCTAATTGACTGGCTTTCCAAAATATTGTTATCCTAAACAGTTGATTTATCATCCAGATACTAAATGGAAAGAACCCAGCCACCAAAGGATATGTGTATTACAGAACCTAACAGGGGGCATAAAATTATTTACGGTAACCAAACCTGTTACCTTTCTTCACTGTTTTTCTAGGAATTCAGTTTTACTGAATTCATTGAGTCAGCATTAAAACCTTTTGGTCCAAATCACTCCCACAAAATGTCTGTTTACAATTTATGCTGGAAATGGAAGGGATAGCTAGCTCAAAAGCAGGAGTGCAGAAGCAATAAGCATTTAAGAAAACAAAAAAACAAACTAGTGTAAGTGGTAAATAATCTACCTATTTGGCACCATCCTATGAAGAACCAAATCAGAGTAGAATCTTCCCACATCCACCCCCACCACACACATACACACAGGACAGGAAGCTTTTTCAGATATAAAATTCATTCTAAGTCAAAGGCCTAAACGATTGCTGTTTACAGATTCTATGCAGGTACAACGTCCACCGACATAAATTGTATTGACATAGCAAATTACTTCAGTTGACATTCTTGGGGGGAGTAAAGCCATTAAACTCAAAAGCTTAGATATACATTGCTACTTCTAAATTAAAAATACAAAATAAAATAAAAACAACTCAGCTTTGTTACTGCAGAAAGCAAACCTCTTATACAGAAGACTTTTCAATACAATCAAAATTTGATTAGTGTCATGATTATCCAACATTTCACTTACTTAAAAACATTATTTTGACATAAAATGAAACAAACAGCTGCAAGTATGCCACAGATTTTGAAATTCTTTGACATAAGAATACCAAAGGCAAAAGTAAACAAAAACAAATCATTCTTACTTGTCCCATTGGTGGTCCTCCCATTGGGGGCATCATTTGTGGCATCATTCCATGAGGTACAGGAGGCATATTCGCTCTCTGACCCATAGGATGCATTCCCATTGGGGCATAATGCATGCCAGGGTGCCCCATCTGAAAAAGAGGGACAATTTTAAAATTTGCCAAGTTTCAATAAATGACTCTCAAAAATTTGATTCCTATAAATCAGTTCTGTGCATCACACAATATTTGGCTAATGTTTGACTCAATTACTTGGCTAAACTTTCTTGTCTTAAATAAAAGAATTACACCAGTGTTTATGAGCTTTAACTTGACCAAATTTCAGAAAATGGAAAAATTAAAATCAGTTCCGGACACCTAATTCATAATTTTTTAGAGCATGCTGATTTAATCAATTGTCAGTTGGCTTGCTAACTGAGAGGAAATGCATGTGAAGACCAGCTTAACTGTTATGGTGAAAACCAAGACTTTGTCCTACTTCACAGATATAAGATAGCTAACTATGTTCATTTTATAACGTCACATTATCAGATTCATTTCTAAGCTGATTTTAAGCTTTAGACCGCTGAAAATTTACCCAATTAACTGAGATGAGGGCTGATCTTATAAAAGAGAGCGTCGGTACCCGGGGACACTTCACTCCTAACAAACAAACATATTATTTCCTAATAGGATCTCTAACACAGCTAAAATTACTTATGCAAAAAAATATTTTCCTCCCAAAGACTAAGCTCTGTTATTTACGAACACTAAACGTAAACAACCAATTTAGGCACCTTAATGCGCTTTTTATAAGCCAACTCCTTTCTTTACGTGTGTCCATTGTTCCAGGTCGTAAAACCAGGTAGTTATCTGCTGCCAATTCTCCCAGCTATACCCCCTCTGCGAACACCACTACTACTAGTTAAGATTCTGGCAGACTCTGTTAAAAAGTCTACGGAAAAAGTCTCCGTCTCCGCCTCCCCGTCCCTGCTTTAACCCGGCCTACCTCTCCAAAACGCTCACCCCGCCCAGGGCCCAGCACCTCCACCGCGCATCTGCCTAGGCCGAGCCTACTGAGAACTTCCAGGGTCCCACTTCCTTTCCTTTGTGCATCCCCGCTCTCCATTTCTCTCCCTCGGAACAAATCCCACCATCTCGAGCTCTTCCTTCGTCCACTCTCATCTTCTTCTCCTTTTGGAGAATGCTTCCTGTCTCTCTGACTCCGTTTTTCATTGTGCCGCTTTCCCTCTGCCCCACCGCTCCCTTACCGAGGGCCGTCTCCTCAGGAAGCCGTCAGCAGAGACCCAAGAGCTGGAGCAGAGGCTTGAGCCGGACAATCTCCGCTCCCCGTCCCCGAGACCCCGCGACGGAGGATGGTTCTCCATTTCACTCACCATGAGGCCTCCACGCTCGGCTCCCGTCCCCGGCCTCATCGTCGGGCTCAGACTGCTCCGCCGGCGGCCACTGCCGCTACACATACCAACAAAAAGCGATCTGAGTGGCTGGCGCCCACTGGGGCCAAAGGTTAAAGGCTGCCCTGCGCTATGGGGTGGGATCAGCGGGGCCAGTAGGCTGACAGGCTTTCCCGCTGTCCAATCAGACTGCGCTGCCGACTCGCAGCTCTTCGGCGATTCGCCCCCGACCTCAGCCTAACTCAGCGTCGCCGGCATGGGGTTGGGGGAGGGGGACGGAAGAAGTTTCCGCGCCGATTCCTCTGCAGGGAAAACTCCACCAACTTTCCCCGGGGACGGGAAGACGACGGTGTCCCAGCTTCCCGAACTTAAGACTGCCACACCACGTAGGGGGTGGACCAGTGGAGGCCTGCCACCTTCAACACCCCCTCCCCACCCCGCCCGAATTACCTATGCCCCACAAACCTGAGGCCGCCAGGGGTAGGGTAGGGTGGGATCGGGGGGTAGGGTAAGCAGCCTCTTGCGTTAGCGGTGACTAGGGCCGGTAGTGTGCGCGCGGGACTAGAGGCGGAGGAAGGGCGCGGGGCAAGCTAGAGGAGGGGTCGTCAGGAGCGGGTACGAGCTCTTACACACCAGCTGGCCAGCGCGCGCCAGGGTGGGGCGGGGTGGAGGCCTGCCCAGCGGCTTGGAGGGAAGTTGTGGTAGGGGCGGGGAGAACAATGTGAAAGGGAAGGCGGTATTGGGCAGTTAAGGGAGACGAGAGCGCCAGGCGCTGAGCTCCCGTTAATGACGGAAGCCGGGGGGAGAGTGCAGGTGTAGAGGAGAAGATGGGAGAAAGCAAACAGATTCGGGACTGTGCGTTAGCGGGCACTGGCGGGCGCTAGGACCGGGCGTAGAGGAGGTGCGGCTTCGGGACTGCGAAGGCACGCTCTAGTTTAGAGGTGACGCGAAGGTGGCGGAGGTTTCTGGCGGAGAGACTAAACGCTGCAGGGAGAGGAAACTCGGCTTCTTTGGGCCTCGGCTCGCCTTCCTTCTTACTGCTTGCGGGTCGTGCTCTGGTCCAGGGGCGCTCAGCCTCTCCTCGGCCCCACGGCACCTTTCTTGCCCCAGCGCGCACCCTTGCGCACCCCTGCGCGCCAGGGCCTAGTGGTGGAGGCCGCGGGGGGCCCGGCCGCTCATTGGCTACTGCGGCCGCGGGCGGGGCGGGTGGGCGATGCTGGACCTCAGAGGGCCTGAGCGTCTTTCCCGCCATGTCGTTTGTGGAGAGCGGGAAGCGTACGGCCCTTCTGCGCCGCCGGCCCGGCACCCCTGTCCCGTTCGCTCGACCTGCGTATTCCGTTTTCAGTCAGGGAGATAGTTGGGGTGAGGGCGAAGTCGAAGAGGAGGAGGGATGCGACCAAGTGGCCCGTGATTTGCGGGCGGAGTTCTCGGCCGGGTCGTCGTCGAAACCCAGAAAGGACTCGGTACTCCGGCCAGATGGGGACGGATCTCCGCTTCTGCCCGATAAACGCAATGGCATTTTCTCGGCGGATGCGGGTGGTAAAGCCCTGGCTCGGCGTTGGCCGGTCCAGGTCCTCTCAATTGTCTGTTCGCTGCTGTTCGCCATCCTCCTTGCCTGCCTGCTCGCCATCACCTACCTGGTCGTAAAAGGTACAGAAGGAAGCCGGGGCCTTGAAAGCCTATCCAGAGTTTACTTCAGTTGAGCTTGGACGTGGCCCTTGCCTTCATCGCCCTCGCCCCCATCGAAGGCGGCAAGCTTGGTAGCTGGTTTTATCCATACGCCTCATCCGCACCTTTCTTTGGTCTTCCCCTTTGTCTTCTCTTTTCTTAAAAGTAGAAGACTTTGGTCGGTGATCAGGAGGCCCGTTTTAAGAAAGGGTCTTGATAGGTTGGTAGTCTTGAAGAAATAATGAAATCAGTGAACACTTGGGGATAAAATATTGGTAAAATCAAGCAAAATGCAAAACAACTGTCCTTAAAGGAAGGCGGTGAAGAGGGTAATTTTAAAAGGCTATACAAGTTCGAAGACTTTAATCCGCAGATGTTAGAGGTGTACAATCCACTTGTTCTGTGCACATTGAATTCCTGAAGAACAAGGATCTCCATTGCACAGGCCAAATGTCTACTTCGGTAAAGTAGTCCCTCGGGTTTTGTACTAAGTTTGCAACCCAGTGTTACTGGTGAAATTCTGTTGCACAGCAAGATAGTCTGTTCTTTCTCTGATTAATGGCTTTACATTTCCGTGTCTGAAGTTGAAATACTGGCCAGGTTGAAATAGAAAGAAATATGCCTTGATAGGTTTTCCAGAACTCGTACAAATGTATTATGTGTTTGGATATTTTACCGTGGGAAGAATCAGACCTGAGTTGAAACCTCAGTTCTAACTGTGATTTTGGCTAAGTTATTGGGGAAAAAAACTACGTTAGTTTGTTGTATGAAAAGCACCCAACATGTTACTCGAGTACTAGTTTTCACTAAGTAGAATTAAATCTGTTTAATTATAGTTTTTATTTTCCCTCGTTGCTTCAGGCCCCTCATGAGCGGTTCATGGCATCTAACACCTTTGCCTGCTTGATTTTCATACGGAAGACAGATTGGCATGTTAATGTGAGAGTTTGATCTCTTCCTACAGTGGTACTGGGTGTAAACTGTCAGTGTTAAATATTTGGGTGCCAGTGTTTCTTTCCTCTACCACTCCCCTCCCCCATTTTTTTCAAAGCAGCTCAGTTTTGTCTTGTAGGTAGTTATTTCTGTTCTACTCAGATTACCTTTGTTCATAAAGTCATAAAACTTGGTAAGTGGAAGTGCATTGCAGAAGACCTTAAACTCTGCTTATTTTGGAGAATAAATAGCTGAACTCAGAAACGAGTAATTTGCCTTGTATAAAATGTCTTGGGAATAAAAATTCCCATTTTAAATACATAGCAGTTGATCATAAACATTTTATTTGCTTACTGAAGGTCACATAGCTAGTAAATGGAATCCAGGTTTGAACCCAGTTGTTTCCAGCTCCACAGCAGTTTCCAGAACTCCATGTCTTTCTAGCCTTTGAGCTTCTGTTCAAGTTATAAAATCATCTCTTTTTGTATTTACAGAGTTACATGCTGAAAATTTGAAGAATGAAGATGATGTAAACACTGGACTGTTAGGTATGGACCTTACTGTCACTTGATTTTTGAGCTCAGTTGTGTTTTTTATGTTTTAATGATATACAGGTTTGGATAAAATACGTAATATATTCCCTGTGCGATGTTGTTTCACTCTTCTTTGTTTGTATATGTATGTGGTATGTTTTATTAGACTTTCTTTTTATGTATGAGTATATGTTTGTTTGTATGCCAGATACACTAGGAATATGTTTTGAACACAACTGTATGTAACAGGCCCAGAGAATACTTAACATTTTTTAGTTACCTTTTGGAAAAGCCTCTCTACACTTCTTCCCAGGAAGTAAACAAACAAACATCTCCTCACAGACATAACAAAGATAACATCTTAAGCAGGCCTCAGAAGTAGTTTAAGTTCAAATCTCCTTATAAGCAACTTAGTTTTTTAAAAACTATGAAAAGCATTGGGTATACTTAACACAAGCTAGTTATGACTAGGAAAAAGACAGACCTGAGTTTCTATAGAATGTCAGTAGAATGCTAGTTTACAGATTTGTAGTAAAAAAAATTCAGTTCTTATTTAATCTTTATTTTTCTCTGCCAAAATAATTGTGAAGAGTTCAGAATTTTACCTGTCTGGCATATTTTACTCCTACTTGCTATAATTTATTTGGCTGATCACTCTGAATTGGGGATGAGGGTATGGGAAATGATTGAGAGCTTATCCCACTTGTTATTCCCTCCCCCAGTGTTAGCTAAACTATTAAACTACCTCTTCAGGGCTAATGTCCTCATGATTAGGACAACAGAGTCCACCTGACTTTGCCAGAAGGGAAGCTTTTATCTTCAAATTATGAACAGGTTAGTTTGCTAGCTGTCCCATGAAAACTTGTCTGTGCTTGTCTTAACTTCTGGCATGAGAAAACATGTCCTTTTCAGTTACTCATTTTGTTAGTGTGCCTCTGTGTGTTGTTAAACTGTTGCATCTCTAAAATCAACAGTGATCATAAGGCTTTTCATAGCATTTATTGATCTGTAAACTCTTGACTGAAAGGAACAATATATAAGCCTAAATGCCTGTTAAGAAACTTAATTTCCGAAGGAGCTGAGACACTGCTATTCTCATGCTTCTTTTTGTGAAAGAAATGTTCATGGGGAGCCCATTTATAGTTTTTTACAAAAGGTTCATGATGACCATTGTATCAGTGCCTTTGGGAGTTGATTGATCCTAATGGCTAACAGGAATAGGCTATTACAGTGTTCATCTTAACTAGTGAGGTAGTCCCACCAAGGAGATGTGATTAATACTTTCGGCTTCTCCCCATATCTTCCCTGGTTGGCATTGGAATCACACTGCAGAGTTTGTAGGGCTTTCCTTTTATAATTGTCCTGTAAGCCTATTTTTCAGATAAATTAATAAAATAAAACTTAAGGTCATTTAGTTGAAAATCACATTCCAGCCATTCCTCCTTGAAGTTATTTTCTGGCCAAATTGATTGCACGAATCATATATAACATTGAACTGTTTGATTTTCCACATTTGCTTTTCTATCAACATTTTCCCAAATTTGATCACATTTTGCAGTTAGTCCTGTTTCCAATTTTTGCATTTTTTTCCTAGTTTTATAACTAGGAAAGTATCAGAAAGAAGGATAAATGATGTTTTATTTGAGGCAAACCTGAAATAAGTGCATAAAATAGTAGAAGGAATTGCCTTTAGCAGACACTCCTTAATCTGAGACTGTTAACCAAATGTAGTGCTAGTACTTTTACAAACACTGTAAATAGTACTATACAGAAATTGTAATCAGACTTTGTGGAGTTCCTTCAGTGTCTAAAAAGTTTTAAAATTTGATCTTTGGTTCCTATGAAATCTATTAGTTAGTAGTTACCTTTAAGTCCCTTTTGTGACTAGGAGCAGATTGCTAGCATCTTGCAGTGTCAAGGGCTGTTTATTTTTTAGCTGCCCATTTACTGCTTGTTTTATGCTTGAGATGTTTCCAGGCTTCTACACATTTTCCAGAGAAGAGATGACTGACAAAGATGATGTCTGCTCATTTAAAGAATTGATGATTGATTTCTTTTCTTCTGCACAGTGATAAGTGAGACTTTGTATCATCATAATTGAATGATACAGAACATTAGAAATATGGTAAAAATTTCCAAGGGAAAGGATGTGTTGGGAAATGACCCATTCTCTTAGAAAGGTGCAAGTTGATAGCAACGGACTCAGTTTCTTCCTCGCAGTGAAAGCTAATTAAAACCATAAACTTGAGCTTTTTAATGGGTATATAATATGAACCTTATAATTTGAGCCCACAGTCTATTAAGGAAATAATACAGTGCTTTCTGTAGCTGGGTAGGGTAAATCTAATATTTCATTTAAAAATTCACAAGTATGTTATCCTACTCTGCAGCAGAGTCTTTGTAAAATTTTGTATATTGCTGATAACAGTAAAAGAACCAAGGCAAAAAAGAGAAAAACCAAAAGCCCTAAAACACTGGAAGGATACAACCAAACTGTTAGTTCATCTGAATTTTGAAATTATAGTTAGTTTTTTTTGAAATCTCTGTTGTTTGTAGTGAATGACTGTAACTCCTAATGAGAAAAACGTTGTTTAAAAAAAGCACAAGTTTAAGGAAGTGTGAAAACCATGTTCAATAATTAACGACAGTACTGAACTTTTTACAGTATGCAAAAAATGTGATTTCACCTGGTATTCCCAACTATCCTGCATCCATAAATAAAAAATACTCCTTCTAAATCAAAACTCAAGACCGTGTACATTAGAATTTTTATACCAACAGATAGCTAGGCATGGTAGCAAGGCAAAAACAATACAGGTCATTATCCGGAATTATCAGTATGCAGCTGAATTATTAGTCATTAAATCATTACAGGTCTCCTCTTAACATGTAAAAGTAGTAATGAGAACCAGACATTAGGAGCTCTATTTCTCAAAAATTGGTTTATTGTTAGTGTGGTACTACCTGGCCCAGCTGATGGAAAGAATGTTTCTTAGGCTTATGAAGTCAGACTTGAGTTAGCATCAGAATCACCTGGAAAACTTGTTAAAGCATTTTGCTGGGCTTTACCTAGTCTAGAGTTTCTGTTTCAGTAAGTATAAGGTAGAGCCCAGAAATTTGCATTCCTCATAAGTTTCTAGGTGATGGTCATGCTGCTACTTTACAAGAACCACTAGTCTAGTAGTTCTTACTCCTCAGTTATATCAACAGCAAACACACAGAAAAACCCTAAAGATTTTCTTACTCTGAATTTATGAAATTTCAGCCCCAATCCTTAGTCTCCTGGATCAAAGTTAAAGTCACCTAATTGGCTGCACTCTCAGTATCCTCTCAGGGTCTGTTGCACCCAGTCTTCATTTTTACATTTTCTTGAGCAGTTCTTTTTGTAAGAATTATTTCATGTCTTTTATTCTTACTTACGTGACCTTCCACAGAATAAAGAGAAAATTGAGATATATATTTTTTTATAGAATAAAGCTTATTTGATCTTGAAATTACCTGATTGGTTCATTGGCCTGTTTTATATATAAGATACATTATAAGATTTTAATTATCTTATTTACCTGTATCTGGAAACACTTTGTTATTGTATTAGGAATCATTTAATATTATCAGTTATTCTCAATTATGCTAAAAAGAATAAAATAATTTTGATGGAATAGTCCAGAGCAGAGGTCAGCAAACTGTGGCCCTCAGGCCAAACCTGATCTGCTACCTGTTTTTGTAAATTGAATTTCATTGTAGCATACCTGTGCCCCATTGTTTTATATATTGATTATGGCTGCTTTCATGCTAAAATGTCAGAGTTGAGTAGTTGGGAAAGAGACCTGATGGTGAGCGAAGCTGAGGATATTTACCATCTGGTTGTTTTCGGGAAAACTATTGTATTCTCAACCAGGTATCATTTAACAGAGAGGAAAAAGGCAAAAACACAAACCATCCCCTTTTGCTAAAATATGTATAACGTTCTTTTTCATCTTTTATGAGTCTATGCCTACTAATTTATTTGATACTGTTTGTAAATTGAAAACTTCTAATGGCAGGTGATTGGAAAAGAAAGGGGGGGAATCACTGGATTGAGCATTCAAATTGTTTAAAAATCTAAAAATGAAGATGTTTTACAGATTACGGAGCTAAGTTGGCTAAGTAATATTCCATTGTATACATGTACCATAGCTGCTTTATGCATTCATTTGTCAATGGACATCTAGCTTGCTTCCAAAAATGTGGAACACTTAATAAATTTGCATGTCATCCTTGCACAGGGGCCATGCTAATTTCTGGATTGTTCCAATTTTAGTATATGTGCTGCCAAAGTGAGCACTCATTGTATTCTTTCTTCTACTTTTGTGTATGTTTGAAATTGTTCATAATAAAAAAGTTTTTTTTAAGTTTCCCTTGTGAATATGATGATTTAACATGATTGGAAACTACAATGGTACTCAAGTTTCATCAGTTTCAGTCAGAATATTCCTTTCCACTCCTTAACCTTTTAATAGGAAAGGGAATAGAGTTCCTACAAGCTGAGTGGCAGACTGACAGAATAGTTGAGTGGAGACCTTGATCAGTGCAGCTGCCGCACTCCGACTGTGTGTTCAGGTCGATGGCACTGGTAGGGGAGGAAAGACCCCTTTCCTCTGCTCCTGTATTTGGAAATCAGCTTGAAGACCCACGGCTGTTCAGCTTTTTGATAAAGTTGCACACATTTGCTTACCATAAAAATTGTTGATTAATTATATGCATGAGTCCATCAAAACTTTTATTAGTAGCCAGCTGGTTATAGTTTTTACAGCTTACAAAACTACCTGTTAAATTATTTTTGATTTTTAATTTCATAACTTAGTTACATGAGTTATAGTCTCATGAAAAAAATTTCACTAAAGCACAGGTTACCATTAATCTACTTGTGTATTTTCAGGTCTTTTTCTATTTGTTTATATGTATATAATAAGTATAATAAGATATGTGGTTTTATCACAGCTGTAGAAAAAATAATTCTAATCATGCATAGGCTGCAGCTTCATTAAAATATCTTGGAGTTCATTTTGTATCAGTAAACATAGTTCTACCTCATTCTTTTTTTATTACTGCATTGTATTTCATAGTATGTTAGCTTACTTAAACATTTCAAATGTCAGAAGCTCTAAAACAGGACTTGGAATTCATCAATATGTGGTCACATCTTGTCCTATTGCTTATTTATGACAGGAATACATTTTAGAAGAATGTAATTGATAGCTTAACATTTTTTAATAACCTTTCCCAGTATGGGAACATGGGAGGATTTTATTTTGTTTTTCTGTTTGTTTTTACTTACATCTCTGACTTCATAAAACTTCTGAAAGTCATCTCATCTCCATAAGCCTGAAATTGCTAAATAATATTGAAATGTTTACAACATATCATAATCTTTCTTTGCTGGAAGCTTTTTTAGAAACACATAGAGCTGCCATCATATTTCTAGAAAAATAACTACACTTTGAAATAAAAATCATATATTTTGAAAAGCAATCTTCCCAATTAGATAAGTGAAGATAAAACTCCAGTAAAGGGGTTAGACTAGGAATTTCCCATCTACTCTCCTATTTGCTTTAGGTGAAACCATTGAGTCCAGGGGGTTACAGTGGATGAAAAAAAGAAATTTCCATCATATCACTTGATGAAAATTAACTATAGAGAAGAAACAAGGATGTGTGTATTTAAAGACCTGTATTCTTTGACACAACAGTTGTTCAGAAATTTGTTACAGATATCTTTGTATAACTTATAACTTGCAGCTTTATTTTTAATAGTGAAAAATTGCAATAATAAAAAACATGCAGTGGAATTGTGGATATGTGTACTGCATATGGAAGGTCTCCAAAAATGTTGTGTGAAAAAGTTCAGGACAGTTTTTCTAGTGAGAATCCCATTTGTGGAAAATAAACTGAGAAAATACATACATGGCATACATTTGTATATAACTGGCTCATTCTTATACATAGCTATCTACATTACCTATAATTTTTACAAAAGATGAACAATAAATTGATTGCTTTTAGAAACAGTTGGTAAATTGGGGAAGGAAGACTAACTTAATTTTTATGTACCTTTTAGAAATTATGTTAACTTGGTAAAAGGGTTTATAAAACATAAGTTATCAAATTTTTAGCTTCAGGTTTTTTGTTAAAAAATGTAGTTGTGAACTGCCAACTTTCGTGGTTTTCCTGCTTGTTCATACATGAATTGAGTAATTTCACATACACACATTTCTAGACCACAGTATTGCAATGTACTACAGTATTGCAATGTACTCTTTTAGCCCTATCGTTGTGATGTGACTTTCATCAAGGATGTAACTGTTGATCAGTTCAAAGTGAATGTAAAATAACTAAAATGCCCACAATGAGGCAGGCACTTAGATCATAGAATAGAAGTAATTTCTGAAGACTCAAGAATTATTTTTGTATTAAATCCAGTAAGTGTTCTGTTAAAGCACCTGAGTAAAAAAGCCTGATGGGCTTTAGGGAGCCTCACATTTTGTTATTGTTGGTTATTTTGTGTCTTTCTCAATTTTTTAGATGTTTAGAATTTTCCATCATTCCACCACAGTCCCCATACAGTCTCTGGGTTGGCAGGCAGGTTGCCCTCAGTCTTTACTCAGGTTATCTCTGCTCAGTTCCACATTGGGTATGGTTCTAGAGTTTGACTGTGCCAGGATATTGGGATGGGAGTATGATCTAGTCCTCAAGACATTTTGCTCAAATGAGTTACTGCTGAAACATTTTGCACTCTGTTCAGGATGGCCTTGCAGATGCAGCAGCTTCCAAGCCACATGACCATGTGCTGTTTCTATGCCCCACTTAAGGCAGAGGCATCTGCAATCTTGGCTCTGGGCCCTTCTGCCAAGATTCTGTATACAGCTCCAATTCCTCTCTGGTATGTGTGGCTTCTTGATGGCTCCACCAGGAAACCTCAGCAACACTACTACCTCTCCATATACACATACAAATGCAACCACACACACACCACTTTTCTAAACCAGGACTCTTTCTCATCTGTATATAAAGCCCTTACTGTCTCCCTGTTATACACATTTTTTTCTGTATTGCTATCCAAGATATTTTGTCTTTACCCTCCTTCTTATATCTGTCCTACTAGTTACCCTAGTTTTGCAACATAAAAACCAAAGAGACATAGGGCTGTTTCTCCTTTCTTTGCCACATCCTTCTGGGGCAGTTAACACAAAGTTCATTATCTTTTGAAAACGGGGGGTAAGGGAAGGGGGACTATCAGGAGAAAAAAATTAGGTTCATCTTTCAAAAATACTTTGCCACAGATTTGTTTATTGCTTCATTGCTCTGAGTTTCTCTTTCAGTAACTCATTCTCTTAGTGAGTTTTAATTAGTTTACAGACAGTCCAGTACACATTATTTCCTACTTCTTGCTAAAATAAAGCTATATTTGATTGTGCATTTTGTGCAGCCAGGGAATTTGGTAATTCATAAGTCAGCCTCTGTTGTAGTCTTCTCAGCCTTTCTTCTATGTACTCCTGAGGCCTGGGATACACTCATCGGTAGCGGTGGCTTCGTAAACTGTATGTCACTGTTTATTCCCCACATTGTTCCATATCTTAACTCTTTGCTCTTAGAGCTCGTTGTACTGTGCTTTTGACTTGATATCTCTCATAAACTGCAGTTACAGTGTGACTGAAAATCTAAGATCCCAGCCCATTTATAAATTGGAAAGTAACATTTCTTCATGTACCGAGTGAGCAAAGTTAAGGAATCAGATTAGGTTTGTAATGTTTGGAAAGTTATAAAGAGTAGACACTCCAATAAAATTAATTCATATGTCAAAAGTTCACGGTATGGAAAGAAAGGGATCACTTAGTACTCAGTAATAAAAAGTAGCAAGCGGTGATCACAGAGTTAAATAAAAAATGTCAGAACATTTTAACAGTGAAGTGTTCTGACATTTTCCCCACAGTTTTCAGTTTTATAAAACTGAAGATAAAAGCTTTATTTTTAAGTTGAACTTGTATTCTTTTCCACATAGTAAATTATAATTGAATTAAAATATTCATTGATGTAACTTCTAGTTTTGCTTTAATATTTTACACTTCCACAGGAGATTTTCTCTTAGGCTTATGTCTCTTTTATCACTTAAATATAATTTAGAAGATTAGAAATATGTATGATCTTCTGAACGTGATCTGAGTTAATTTAATTGCTTTGGTGTTAATAATCCAAGTTTTCTCCTCTTTGCCCATTAAGGATTCTGGACTCTACTTGTAATATCCCTAACTGCTGGGTTCTCCTGCTGCAGCTTTTCTTGGACAGTGACTTACTTTGATTCTTTTGAACCAGGGATGTTTCCTCCTACTCCCCTTTCACCTGCCAGGTTCAAGTAAGTATTCCTGTTTTTTTTTATTTCCAACCCATTCCAGCTCTGTTGAGCATACTAAAATAGAAGCAAGAGGCTGCTTACTTTAGAAATAATACGTTGAGGTCCCAATCTTTATAAAGTGCAGCTTGGCTCAGTCCTTAGATAAGTGGAGAAGAATATTTTGAACTCTATATGTAGATAATGCAGAGGTATTTTTAAAAATTAAATTCAAAAAATAATCTAAGATGTATGAAACTTTGGTGGCTATTAATCCTTTTGGGATGAAATTTCATTTGAAACAGTTTGAAGGCTGAATTAAAAATTCATGCTTGGATAGTTAGACTTAATAATTGGATTAAAGTTTTCCTCAGATTTAAACTCTGTGTAATAATTAGCAAGCATTTATGGCACCCCCTCCCAGTTTATATATCTAGACAATATTAGATTTGTTTTATAGTGGAACATTAAATTTCTTTGGTCTGAATTTTCTGTTTAAAAGAGTTTCGGAAAATTTGGTAATCAGTATTCTAATCTAGTTTGTTTATGTTAGGAAGACTCTGGTTTTAAATAAAATTTTCCAGATGAGAGCATCTAAGATCTCTAGTTTATCCTACAAATTTAAGGTTGGAAGAAGTGGGAGAAGAGGATGAAGAGTAGAAAATAAATTCTATTAATGATACTTATGTCATCAGGAATATTATACTTGGTGCTGTTGTTACTACCAGTTCCTTCCCACCCCATGGACAACTCAGAGAGAGCAAATGAAATCTGTTTGAGGACTCTGTAAATAAGAAACTTAATACTAATGATAGTTACTAATAATCATTGTTATTAATGTTCTTTGTTATTTTTAAATTCATTTTTCTGTCTTATAAATATATCTTTAAAATTTTGACTTCAAAAATTTTGACTTAAATGAAATGTATAAGTTTAAGACATCTTAATAAATCCCTATCTATATATGTAACATAAATCACATACTTGCCAATAAATTTTGTGTGTGTGTTTTGAGTGGATAATGATTAATTAATAATCTAAACTAAGTTATATGTAATGGTGCAGTACCCTCACATAATTTACATGGGTAACATTCAGTTCGAAAGTTAATTTTGCTAAGTAGTCAATTCAGAGTTACTTTCTATTGCTGCTCATTGACATCAACCAGTTAACTTTAATGAGGGTGTGAGTCTGATATAGATGATACAATAAGTCACACAAAAAACCCCTTAATTTTATTTTTTTTACTTTTACTTATTTATGTCTCACTTCCCCCCTGAATTCTAGTCCTATATTTCCAGGTATTTAGTAGATTTTGCCACCTGGAGTCAGAAAGCACCTGGCACTTAGAATTGTTAAAACGTTTAGTCCTAGACATAAGTATCCACCTGCTTATTAAGGCCTGAAACCCTTTTTCACTCTATTTAGCCCTTCAGCAAGTCCAGTCATTCTTGCCTTTTGAGGTGTTATTGGAATACTTTGTCTTAGCACCCACGGTGTTTTTGCCCTATTTTAAAGTCTTGGTTAGGGTACTTTACTCCTTGGAGTCCCCTGCTCCCAGGTTCTCACTCTGATTTGTGTTGTATATTACAGCCTTTATAAAAACAGATCTTAGTCACAGTTCGCTTGTTTAAAAGTCTTCAGTGGCTTTCTTGATTCTTTGAAAAGCAAGTCTGACTCCCAGGTATAGCCTAACAGTCCTTCCCCAAGTGACCCTGCTCTGCTTTTCCAACTTTATCTTCAACTTTTTCTCCAGTGCTGCCTCTCTTGTAGCCATTACCAAATTACCCTGACATTTTCTAAATAGACATGAACTTTTGTCTTTGCTCTTGCTGTTCTTTCTTCCTGGAATATTTTCCCTCTCAGCTTCACTTCCACTATCATCAGAATTCCTAAGACTCATATGTTAGAAGCTTTTAGAGTTAGAAGAAAGCATTTCAATGTTCCTTTAAGGATCTGGAATTCTAAGAGCATTTAACTAATTTCCTAAAATTTATCTTTGCATTTTTTTTTTAGACTAGAACCAGTAGTGATGGACCTCAGTTTTCAATGTCTTTATTAGTCATTCAAAGATGAGATAGTGTCAGATCAGAGACTTACATATTGGTAAGTAGAGAGAAGTTAATTTTACATAGGTGTGTGTCTTAGTTGCTCATTCATGTCTGACTTTGCAATCCCATGGACTGTAGTCCCCCAGGTTCCTCTGTCCATGGAATTTTTCCGGGCAAGAATACTGGAGTGGATTGCCATTCCGTTCTCCAGAAGATCTTCCCAAACCAGGGGTTGAACCCAGGTCTGCTGCATTGCAGGCAGATTCTTACTGTCCGAGTCACCCAAAATTGGGAAGTCCAATTTTATATACAAATCAGCTATTAGCTCATTGGAGTCAAACTGTAATTTTAATTGATCCATATATACTAAATAGAAGTACAGTCCAAAAAGACATAATAAATACAGTGGCATTTGATCACAGATTAACGGAAACCACAGACCCAAAAAAGGTATATAACATAGTGATAATTGATAGTTTTTTCATAGTGAAAACCCTGCCCTCTGGTGTTTGAGGCAAATAATGCAATTACTTCAGAACAGCCAGAATATAAGTACATTCTCTTTGTCACCAGCAGAGTGAGTGCTTGTACAGGGAAACAGCTCTGCCTTTTGAGAAAGTTAAAATCTTCAGACTTTATTTTCTGAGAAATCAGATTGATGCATTTTATTATTTTTCAATATCACATTTTTATAAAAATAATGTTTATAACAGGTTGTGTATATTTTATTTAAAATAAACTGATGTTAATATAAATGTTTCCTCTGATTACATAAAGTACAGGTTCTTTGTTAAAAATTCAAAAGATAAAAAAATAATAGAAAAACTCTTAGAGAAAATGACAACATTTTAATATGTATCATTCCATTCTTAGCATTTTTTAAAAATTAAAATTGAGATCATAGTATAGATATTTGTAATCCATTTTTAATTTAAATTTTGTTACAACATTTTCTATTCAATATTTCTTTGAGATTTCAGTGTTTTAAATATATTTGAAAGACCAATCATCCTATATATCTGTTTTTTAAGGAAAACCTAATATAAATGATAGCTAGTTTCTAAGATAATTTATTAAACAGAGGTCTCCTTAACTAATTAAAAAGTAAAGAAAGGCACTATAATTGAGACATAAAGCAAAGAGAATTTTCTCTTTATTTTTTTAAGATTATTATTAAAAGTCTTCCATATTTCTAAGTCCATCATGAGTATCAAGGATGAAGAGAATAAAATAATCAAGTCTAACCGGTTTGTTTTTTTTTACAAAAAGCAGTCATTTGCTCTCCTTTGCAGAATTAAACCCAAGGGCATTTTTTTAAACTAATTAGTAGAGTGGGAAAAAAATTTGAGAAGCCCATATTTACTATGGCTATCAATTAGTTGTACTTCCTTAGAAACATGAACTCCTTGAGGGGAGAAAATAATAATCTTTATTGTTACATAGTAAATTTTAGATGAGACATTTAATGAAATCACAGTTTGGATCAATAATTAATTAGAGAAGTTGAGATAAGAAATAAAACCTTTGCACTCATAATTTTTTTATATTTACACTTTCATATTTGTTAGGTATTATCTTAGTTCAAGCTGCTATAAAAAAGTACCATAAACTGGGTGGCTTATGCATGTGCATGTGTTCGTCATTCAGCCATGTCCGACTCTGTGCAGCCTGATGGACTGTAGCCCACCAGGTTCCTCTTTCCATGGAATTCATCAGGCAAGAATACGGGAGTGGATTGTCATGCCCTTCTCCAGGGGATCTTCCTGACGCAGGGATCAAACCCTGGTTTCCTGCATTGCAGGCAGGTTCTTTACCATCTAGGCCACCTAGGAAGCCTCATGAACAACAAAAATTTATTTCCCACAGTTCTGGAGACTGTAATCCTTAAGATCAGGGTGCCAGCTGGTCAGTTTCTGGTGAGGTCCATCTTCTGGGTTGCAGAGGACGTCCTCATTGTATCCTCACAAGGCAGAGAACAGAGAGAGGATGCTAGAGAGAGGATGCAAGCTCTCTTGTGACTCTTACAAGAACACTTATCCCACATCCCATTCATGAGGGCTTAACTCTCATGACTCTCATCCGATCCTAATTACTTCTAAAGGCCCCGCTTTCTAATATGGTCAGTTGGAGGGTAAGGTTTTGACATGAATTGGGTGGTTAGGAAATGGACACAAACATAGTCCATAACAGATACAGCTGAGAAACTTTCATTTTCACATATGCACAGACCTTTAGGAAAGTGAAAGTCACTCAGTCGAGTCTGACTCTTTGCGACCCCATGGACTATACAGTCCATAGCATTCTCCAGTCCAGAATACTGGAGTGAGTAGCTGTTACCTTCTTCAGAGGATCTTCCCAACCCTGGGATTGAACCCAGGTCTCTTGCATTACAGGTGGATTCTTTACCAGCTGAGCCACAAGGGAAGACCTTTAGGAAATAAGATGGTTAAAGAACTTTGCAAGGTGTATTTTTATTCAGCTACTTAATGGGCTTCAAAGGCTTTTTTTTTTTTGACCACTCACTGAGGCATGCAAGATCTTAGTTTCCCAACCAGGGCTCAGACCCATGCCCCCTGCAGTGGAAGTATGGAGTCTTAACCACTGGACTTCCAGGGAAAACCCCCAGAGGCAAATTTTTAAGAAAGATGGTTGCCAGGCTTACTTTGCAAACTTTACTGGGTTAGAGGGTATACTGCATTGTCAAATATATAAACTTCTTGATTAGGAAGCAGTTACTTTCTTTGCAGAAAAGGGAATTTAGGTCACTTGTACTTTTAAATTATTTTCTTAGTTTCTGAAAAATCTGTTAAAGAGCTAGAGGCAGAGGCAGTAACTTTAGATTCCCTGGGGTGTCTGTTTAGGCATTGCCTACTTCTCCCTACTTTATAATTCATTATCCTATTCTTCTATCCTATTTAATCAACATCTTTAGTTCACTATTCATTAGGTTTTCCCTGTGCACTCATTGGTTTT